ATAAATATATATTTGTATGTATATATTTCTTTTTACATTTTAGAGCTGGAATGGCCAGTCACCAAGCAGAAGTTCAGAGTTTGAAGCTAGATAATGATTCAGTTATAGAAGGAATAAGTGACCAGGTACTGGTGGCAGTTGTGCTCAGTTTCACTTTCATTGCTGCTCTGGTATATACCCTTTTAAGGTGAGAATATGTTGATACGAATTGATCAACATACCTCAGTTTGTCAAATGCTAACTTTTTCAATAGATAGTTGCGTTAGCGTACAACGGCTGTGATTTTGTGGCTTTAAATACATCGTTATTCAATCACTTATTCTCAACTAATTGCCTGGCAGTTTCATAATTTAATACACAGTCAGAATGAAATGATGCATTTTCCAAAAGTGAGGCCAAACTCTTCCTTATCTTTAGATGATCAAATTGAATGATGTCCATCATTCCTCAAGACTGAAAATGATTTAATGTATAGTCTGCATGGCTGCTGGTGTCATATTTGCTTATTGAGTTCTTATTTGTCAATAATGACCGCATGACTAAAGTTACATGTAATCCTCCATTGTATATCCTAGCTGCAGATGTCTTAAAAAAAAAAAAATGGAGAGAGAATGACTGATTTATTTCTAAATGCGTATACTTGGAAAACAGTGGACTGTAATGCACCTTCCACAAAGAAAAGTGTTAAATTCAGAGTTGAGCAAAACTAATGTGTTGTTTCAGAGTTTTTCCTTGGGACCTAATGGGTGTGTTAGCCTACGCATTTTTGGGAAAATAAGTGTAAAGTTCAGATTGCCTGGCTTTATGCAAATATGTAGACTTCCAAGCACAGATGAGTTTTAACAACTAAGAGAATTTCATTTTAGTGAATATTCATTGTCGTCATTGTAGGTAGATTCTCACGCGTGGATTCCATTTGAGACGATTGTATGGGGGATACGTGGAGAGCAAGCTATGAAAGAAATCAGAAGTAGGGAGGCTTGGTAGGACTGGAAGGTAGTGCTCCTGTTCAGGGGCAGGAGATGAAATGGAAAAGGAAGCTCTATCTGCTGTGCCAAAGGAATCTTAGAGAAGGGAATACACTTCAACTTGCTTTTCTTCCCAAGGCTATTTTATTCTTTTGGATGCCTCCAAGAGTGTCTCTCTTTCCTCAGTCATCTTTTCCTCTGCTCCCTCAAGCTTCCCCTAACCCTTGTACTCACGTGATCAGCATTTGTGACCTGAATTTGTAGGTGTATATTTAAGTAGTAAATGTTTAATTTTTCAAATTAAAGCATGATTGCATTTAATTTCGAAACATTCTAAACTTTACAAAGGAACACAAGTTAGGAATATGAAAAAGAGTGAGTGGAACAAGCAATGGGCAATAGTAATGGGGATTCACTCAGAACTGGCATCAGGGAGATGATACATCAATGATGAAGGGTCGCTTTGGGAGGGGAAGATGTCTGCTTCCTACCTGTGCAGTGGAATGAGCTAAGTAAAAAGACTGTGGATTCTTTTACACACCTTAACAGTTTCTCTTCTAGAAAAGCAAACTCAGAACACAGAGTGCTTTAGATGTCTTGAAGCTAATTTTCTTCTGCCTAGTGTCACTGCCTTCTGAAAGACTAACTAGTACCTTATTCAAGCTCCATTGTCTCTTCCAGTATCTCCTAAAATTGTCTGTATTCAGTACCACTTTTTCCATACCTCCAAATCTGTGCATCATCTCCGTTAAAATCTCAAAGGAGGAGTTTTCTTTCTTCTATGGTTATCTTTGGCAATACAGTACTCTGTGTGTTTGTTATGCTGTGTACACTATCTCAGTCTCTTTGCCATATTTCTGTATGCAACATCTGAAATACTTAAGCTAGGTAAGAACAGATTCTGGGTATGAATACAGCAAAGTAGGCTTAGGAGAATGGATAAGATTACAAGAACTGAATAAAAAGGACTAGAGAAGGGGAAGCAGGCAGCAAGGATCGTATGTTTAAGTAGATTCTTGGCAGAAGTGGAGTATGAAAAGAACTGTTAAGGGATATGGTTGCTGCACTTGTTTGTAGCAGAGAGAACCCACTGAAGCATCACATTAGGGCATGAGTTGATGGTCTCTGCTTGTGATGAAGAAACAAATATTAACAATAACTAAAATATCTGCCAAGTTGCAGCTGTTCAGTTCAGTCACTGTTAAACACTTTTATTAAGCCTGTATGTCTTTGAGTAATAACTTCTGAGAAAATGCAGCCAGACTTTTTCCATCTTTTCTTAAACTTGTGGGTAGGTTGTCATGCTACAAATGAGATTGTGAAATCTGAATTTATCCAGCAAGTTAAAGGGAACCTTCTCCTCCACTGTGATATGTCAGAGATTTCCTGCTCGCCCTAGATGGGTCTTACCTAACCCATTCTTATGAGTCTGCAGTTTTAGATCTTTTTCCCTCATTGCTCGATTCCATCATGTGGCTTTATTATAAAACCAAGTCAGTATTTTCAGCAGAGGAGAGATTTTCAGTCTTGGAAAATAATGGTATTGCAGTGATATTCCAGTCCCCATATCTATTGTTCCTTACTTTCACTGCGTGACTTTGCACTTTTAATGCAGGCAGCCTAACTCTTTTTAGTAATGACAGTTTGGTAGTACAGGACACCTTAAGATAGGGTTGCATCACTAACACTCCAAAATCAGGAAATGAGGAGAGTATGCATCTAACTTTATTTCTAACTTGTGTGCGGTAATGCCTGTATTATGTAAGTCAGTACTGTTTCTTATTTATTTCAGAGTCTTGTCTCACACTCATGTAACGAGAGAAGTTATGGACAGGATATGTCTAGAGCTTTACCTGTCCCTTTTGGACATTGTGCAGTGTTCGGTTACATAAGCAACTTATGCATGAGTAACAGATGTAACAGATGCTGTACATGCTGTACTTCTGTAGCTCTGCAAATAATCTTGTATATGTATTAACATAACATATGATACCAAACTGAAACCATATATATGAAGTATTTGTACAAGGATGTTATGCCAATATTGTCTGGGTATATTTACCTTGTCTTCTTGACTTCTCAGCACTTCAAATTCATTTTTGGTTAGCATAGCTTTTCACTGGATAACACTCTAAGAGCAAAATCAAAACTAATTGTTTGAAGGATTTGAAATAAACTGGCTTGTAATTCATACCTTCCAGTTGTGTGTGATTTGAATCCAATTTCAATATATATCAAAGTGTTGGCAAAACGAAGGTGTAAAATATGCTAACTTTGTAGAGTTTAAACAGGAAAAAAAATGTATGCGTGTAACATGCATGTCAGACAATATCCACAAAATCTGACTAAAGGAGGGCAAGAAGAGTTCCAAGGTAAGCTTCCCACTATATAACTTTCATGTATGTGACCCCCGCAGTATTGTTAACCAAACTTATGTTTTATAGATAATCAGGCAATTATTAGCGTGTAAGTACGCATTTTGTCTGTTCCTTATTTAAGAAAGAATGAAGGAGATACAATGTTAAAGATGACAGTAAGGCGATATTATGATTGCCCACATCACATGATGCAAAATATTTCAGAAACTTAAGAGAGCTACGAGGAAATCATGTAAATAGAACCGCAGCCAGAAAAGTCCTAAAAATTTAGCTAGTCCAGCCCACAGCTCCAAAAGAGGATCAGCCTCCCTAGACCATCCCTGGAAGGAGTTTAACCTGTTTTTTTATTTAACTTTAAGTCAAAGGTAGCCCACAGTACCCTGAGGTAACCGCTTTGGATTTTTGTACGCTTAGCAATTAAAATTTTTTCTCCATCACCCTTTAATAACTCTCAGAAATAATTGGTTGTATTTATAGAATAGAAGACTTTTCGTATCCTCTTTCCTCTCTATAACCCATCTTCTATACAAACTCCAATTTCTTCAGTCTCTCTCTTGGGTATTTTAAAAACGTGGCCAGTGGTTCTTATCATTCTTTTCTGAACTTTCTCCAGCTTCTGTACACCTTTTTATGCATTTAGCCCAAAATGGAAAACAGAATACAGCTGAGACCTTAACAGTGCTGAGCAGAATGTCGGCGAAATCATATGTATAAATGCAGAATACAGATTTGCATTTTTGTACCACATGATGTTGTTGATTCATATTTAGTTTAACATAATGCTTTTTACACTTATCAGTGTCATTTTTACTTCTAATCCTGTCTCCCACTGTGCTTTTGAATGTCAAAATTTGATATATCCAGCTTCCTTTCTTCAGTGAGTCCCTTCCGTCTGTTTCCCCTTTGTCTTGGTATCTCTAACCTGTATTTTTCTTACCACTAGAGTCTACAGCGATTTCTTTTTATATCTTGTCTGCTGCTGGTTACATAAAGTCAGCATTTTAAAGCTAAGAGTTTTATCTTCCCCTTCTTATGTAAATGTTATGTCTTAATCTTTCGGTTAGTTGAAAAATCTTAATTATTTCAGTTTAGTTTGCTCTACGGTATCTTACGTAGTGAATGAAAAAACTAAGAAATTGAGGTGTAAACCAGCAAAAAAAATTTGCCGCAGTGGAGGCAAAAATTAACAATATTTCTACATGATTAATATAAGAGCTTTCAAATAACTTGATTTTTTTCAAGTTAGTGACTTAATTTTAAATGGTTTTGAGACAAAAATTTAGTTTTAATACAACTTTTTAGATTATGGAATTTCTCTTTGAAAAATCTTGCTGTTATACAGCTTACAAAGGCTGACATAACTTTAGTATGTTAAATGATTGTGCTGTTTCCTTAATTATATGTGTACTGCCTTTAACATCCTTTATACCAGGAAAGAATTATTTTTTTCTCCTTTGTTCCAAGTCTCATTTTATTCAGTCAGTTCTTTTTCAGTGTTGAGTCTTAGTGTTCAACTTTTCTCATTTTTTATATTTCCTTTCACAGAAATGAACATCAGAACATACACCCAGAAAATCAAGAGCTAGTGCGAGCTCTTCGTCAGCAGCTTCAAACAGAGCAGGTGCTGTGCTAAATGTTGGAAACGTTTACCCCCTTGATAAGGGATAGACTTCTCTTCTGAGGTTCTGGAAGAAGCTAGCCTTGAAAATTAAGGAAGCATACTTAGTCTACAGAGGCATCCTTAGAATTTATCAAGTAATAAGATGGCACATGTTTTTTTATGAATGTATCAAGTCATTAAAATTAAAGATTTGGCTGGTTCTTGTTTCAAACCAGTTTTCACCACAAGGTGGAGTATGCTACGTTATGTTATGTGCTTCTTGCGCTGTTTCTGGGAACTTAATGATAAAAAATGGAAATTTGGAGTACAGTTTGCTGCCACAGGGCAGGGGTCAGATGTTTAAACTGATAAAAGATGTGTAGCAGAACAGTGGCAGAGCAGACAGGGCCAGGCAAGACGCATTTCATCCAATTCTACCGTATAGAAGGGTTTGAGAGAGTCTAGGCCAGTTTGTTGGAAATTGCTGGTTCCTAGCCACAGAATGAGAGAAGCCGTGCTTTTTGCAGAGGTGTTGAGACTCCTCTGTGATGATACTTCTTGAAACGACGACAGATTTTTGACTACAACGTGTATTAATGTGGAGGAGAAGCATGACGGACTGGGGAGAAAGAACACTTTGTGGCAGCGAAATTAATCAGGGCTCCTTTAGGCGTAAGGACACAGCCGTAACAGTTGTTTCTGTGACATGGGAAGCTGACCCAAGCACTGCTTAGCAGTCACAACAGATATATCTGCTTAATATAGCTGCAGATATGTGTGTATATCTAGGTTTATTGGTTCTTTTCTGTTGACAAGATGCTAGAAGGAGTCAGCAGTAATCTGAGATCACTGTCGGCTGTTCAAATCCAAAGCAAATCATCCAGCATCTCAGATTCTTACTAGGAGACACACAAACTTACCTCTATACTTGGGCTTGGGAACACCAAATTGTAACTATTGGTAAATGATGCAAATCCGTTACCTGGTTCTGGAAAGAGCTACTTAGGACAATGAAGTAACAGTCTAGATCTGAGCTGCTGCTAATTCTTCAGTGTATCTAAACTAGCGGGACCTAGTTAATGTGTAGGAGCAGGGAGGTTCTTCCTTTGTAGTCCTTAACTGGATTGAAGCATATACTATGTAAAACAGATATAGAGAAACTAATGTGCCTATCACAGAAAGAACTCGCCTAGTGAATCAATTTTTACATTGAAGTATATTTAATTTTTGAATGTTAATATATTTCTGTTTCATTTTACATAGGTTTGTATTCGAGTGTTTGAATTCTAGTAAATGAACACTGGACTTGTTTATTTTTTAAGTTCAGGTAGACTTCTCATATGAAAGATGGTCTCAGACGTTTTGCATTTGTCTTTTGTCCCAACAGGATGCGTCTGCTGGTGATAGACATCGTTTCTATACCGATATGTCCTGTCCAGTCTGTTTGCAACAGGCTACGTTTCCTATTGAAACAAACTGTGGACATCTCTTCTGTGGTAAGCAAAAAACAAACAAACAAACCAACCCTTCAGGAAGAACGCTGGCAGTAGAACTATCACCCTAATGTAAAGCTTTATTCAATTTTAGCTGCTTGTTTTCTAGTCCGCGTTAGAAATAATTTTCTGTATAACTTGTTGAGAAAGTACATTTGCTAGTAAACAATCGTGTGTAACTGTGCTGCGTTTTTTTTTCCATGCTGTCAGGATTGAAAGTGCAGTTAATTAAAAAATGTTAAGGACAGAGTATTGTTTATTTCCAGCTAGTGAAAAACTGAAGAGGCTGAAAGACACTTGGAATTAAGCCATTTAAAAAACTTGCATAGAAAGTATAAAAAATTATATTGTTGTTATCATTAATACATAGTTAGGCTTTTTATTTGTTTTTCTCGGAAGTCCTGAAGAATTCAGACTAAGTTCACAATGCTTACAGTTTTAGGGCTTTTGAGGAAAATATATATGTGTGTGTGTGTGTATGTATGTAAATTTATACGTGTATTTTTTATAGCTAGATAGATACGGATATTCAGTGCTTCCTCTCCCTCAGGTTCCCAGTAGAATTATTTCACTTAATTCATTTAGTGTTACGTAGTATATAACTCATATAATGCCTGGTCATTTAAAAGAAAGAGTTGACAAATTTGGGAAGCGGTAAAAGGACTTAGATTTTTTTATACATACCTACACCTGTTGAGGCTTTGACAATAAAGCCAGTTTTTTTAGGAAGAATTTAACAACTCTTGATTTTTGTGATTTCTGTGATTTTCCTAGCTAAATTTTAAACTAGTAAAAGGTTTAATTCCTTATTTCTTCAGTTAACGATTAAGAAATTTTCTATATTTCTTCAGGAGACACTCTCTTAAAACTAATGATGCAGCTGAACCAGTTCAGGGTTTATCTCATTAATAGTATAGAATTTAAACACGTTTGTTCTTCAATGAACATTCCGTGGAAAATTATACCCGAAGACTTGCATTTCAGTTTAACTGCTTATAGGTTGCAGTTTTGCTGTTTTGCTTAATGCTTAGATACTGTTTCTTAAAGTAACTGTTTCAACTCAGACGTTTAAATCTCTGTTACTGTTAACTTACTTTCATCAGGTTCCTGTATTATTGCCTACTGGAGGTATGGCTCATGGCTTGGTGCCATCCGTTGTCCAATCTGCAGACAAACGGTAATATTTCAAATGATTGTGGACCTAATGGTTTGCATACCTACTGTGGCTTACCAAAAAAGCGCTTACATATTAACCGCAGTAGTAACAGTGATAGAAGAAGAAACCTGAGAAGCTGAAAGAATATGTATGTGTGAAGTACAGACTGTGGACATTACATTTTTTGAACTCATTGTTTTGCCAAGTGACTCAGCAAGAGTCAGCAAGACTGTTCCTGCAACTCAGATTTAAGGAAAGAGCACTGATAATTCTAGCCATCTATCTAGAAAGATGTATATGAAAACAGAAATCATAAGGTCTTACTATGATTCTTTCCTGCTGTCTTTCTGAGAGGTAGTTTGCTTCTTTACCAGAAGTTGGATCGGAAAGCCGTGGCAGGTGTGGAAGACTGCCAGTAGGCAAAATGCTACTGGTTTCTAAGAAATATCCTCTTTCTTCCTTCTTTCCCTGCCAAAAAACCCCGTCCACACCAATTTCTTATCTTCTTCCTATTTCTAGTTCTTATGTATTACTAATTGGAGCTTTGTAGAGCAGGCGCTAGCTTCCTTCCTACACAACATACTTACAGTGTCAGTTTGAAATATGTCCCTGCAATTCATTAACACAAGCTCTCAGAGTCTCATAGTCTGTATTTTAACAAAAGTGTACACCTGTATTGTAACAATGCACAAACAAGAGAGTTACATAATTATTAGCGTGTTTCAAGGCAGTGCCCGTACACTGTATCCAAGTTTGACTTTGAATCAGCGCTACAAGTGGTATAAGGAGACAGATGAAGGAAAGCAAAATAGGTATGGCTAGAAGAAGAATGAGTGGGTTACAGTGTAGCCAAGGAGGAGAAAAGCACAAAAACCAAGGTGAGGAGAATGAAAAAACAGAAAATAGCAGTGTTTTCACATCTTTCTGTAGATAGATGCTCTTCTACCTGGGTTTTTTTGTTTTGTTTTGTTTTTTGTTTTTGGATTAAGTAAATGGGGTGGGACATTTTGATCAGGCATTTTTACTCACTCCTCTGAGGTAGGGAAAATGAAGTTAAATTTTGTAAATGCGGAATTGAAGTGTATACATATGAACAACATGAGTCACACAAAGTTTGTGGCAGGGCTAGAACTTCAGTGTAGTTGTAATCACAGTGTTACGTGCTCAGTGTGAATGCTCCATTTAAAAATGCCTACAGGAGAGTTCCTCACCTTACACTCTCAAAAAAGCTGTTCAGAGTCCAGTAACTTGAAACTTTACAGGGATACAAATGAATTGTATCAGAAAGCTTGGAGAAGCTTTCTTTATAAGTTTAAAATCTCACATCTAGTTGTGGAAAGTAGTGAAATGCTTCCTTTTAAACCTAATATTAGTCCAGAAATAAATATTGCTCAACATATTACAAGGTAATGGCTTTATATTTTGGAGAAAGATGGGGTTTCTTCAGAAAAGGTGTGGTGGTGGGGGGCAGGTGTGCCTTACTGAAAATAGACTCTGGGTAATCAGCTCTTTAAGCCACAAGTACTTTGTGTTCTGGGAAGGTTAGGAAATATATTTAGTGGCTAGGTACTTGGGGAGCTTTTGCAGGCTGTAATAAATTAAAATGCAGTGTGTTTTCTTTTCTTTTGGCAATCTACATTTTCTGCCTGAACATCACTTCCAAATACAAGGCTTATGGTTTCAGAAACTCCTGTGCAGACAGATAACATAACATGTATGGGAATACCACTTTCCATATTTTTATATATTTACATGAAAAGTAACTCAAAAACATAGAAGAATATACTGCACTTACAAAAGAGCTGGAGGTTATTACCTTTTTCTGACAGCTTCTGTTATTCTCTTTGGTCTTGGTATGAATATCGACATAGGAGAGTGTAAGTTTCGCCTTGATTTGCTGACGTGCAAGGTCCTCCGAAAGAGGGAGGAAAGGTGGCCTTGGTAGAAGCTGTATTTGATTTTGAGTTTAAGAAACAAAACCAGACTGACTTGCTAAATTACGCTAAATTTCCTTTATTCTCGTAAATCTACCTCACTTTTGAAACATAAGCTATTTAGATGTTTTGGAAATTGTCCTGTAAACCTCCCTGAGAAGGAAGGTTCTTATGCTAGTTTACAGCGATCGTTTTTAGAATGCATCAATGTTCTTTAAAGAATTTAAAGCAATATACTTGTTAACACTTAGAAGCAGTACCCATGTGTTTTATATTAATAGTTTTCGTTTTCTCTTGCTACTAAATATTCAACAAAAAGTTTGCTCTGTCTAGTTAACTGAAGATTACTGCTATTTCATTTATAGTTCACAGTATCTGCGTTTGAAAAGCCAGTCACACATTAACAAAATCTCCTTGCTGTGCCTAGGTAACGTTGTTCTTACCACTCTTTGGTGAAGATCAGCAGGATGCAACCCAAGTATTTCAAGATGTTAACGATTACAATCGGAGATTCTCAGGACAGCCCAGATCTGTAAGTTGTGGGAGAATTTGGGTAGAGGTCAGTGACTGCAGAGAAGATTGTTAGTATTTTTTCTGACTTTTTTTTCCTGGAATGTGAATTTTCTGTTTGTAATGTGTAGGAGCTGTGCGGGTTTTTCTTAGGAAATTCATGTTCATATAGTTAAGGCAAACCTAAAATACCGGAATACAATTATTTGTAATTTGTCTGTGTAGAACCTTGTATTTCTATTGTAGTTGAAAACTGCTAATAAGCCTCGAGTACCCTATTGAAAAAGAGTGCTTCAGCATGAGTTAAGCACTTTTTTGAATCATGAACTCATTACATTGAAAGGGTTGATATTTAGCCACTAAAAATACTGAGTGAAATATATGAGCTGTAAAGAACAACATTTTCTGGACAAATCTCTTTAACTTGATCAGAAGAATAGTCTTGAGTTTTATTCTGTGCCTTTCCTCTTTTTCCTCTTTTGATTTCAAGGCATATGTGCTCTTGATTTTTTTTTTTTTTCCTGCTAGCTTATAATACAGCCTTTGTATTGCTCTGTGACTGTGCAAAACTTTTTTTATAGATAAATGGTGAAAGGATGTAGTTCAAGTTCTATAAACTTGAGAAAATCAGCCTTATGAGCTTATCTTTTACATGCACGTCCTGATTCACAAAGTGAAATGCATGCATGTGGATAACATTAATTTTACTGATACCCTGCCTGTTTCCATCAGCTTATTTGATTTAGTCATACTAACAAACATCACCAACAAATATTTACAGTCCAAGGAGACAAAAGAGAAGTGAGAAATTAAATGTTCTTGTTTCGTTTTCTAAAGCACAGAACTTGCATGCTTTTGATGCAGAGTAGTAACCGGTCAGAGGATATGCCTGAAGTTCCTAAGAGCCCAGAACTGGACTAGATAAGCTGCCTTTGATCTGCACACAGTATATTGCCTTAACCACATTTCACCTTCCTTTCTAGAGTACTTTTTCAGCTTTGGCAATAACTCCCTTTAATACCATGGCTCTGAGTAAACTAGGAAAGGAGAAAGTACTGAAAAAATGCCAAAGTTCAGCTGACCCCAAGCCTCATAAGAAAAACCTAGATATTTTCTTCTAAGCAATTCCTCAGTGAGATCACAGAACCATTTTCAAATGATAGAAAGGAGCCAGGGATGGATGCATTTAAGGATTCTTCAATTTACTTTCAAGCTTGATCTGTCCTTTTGGAAATCTGTATAAATCACTCTCTGTAGGCTGGAGGGATAGGGTCATTTCTGAAGAATTGCAGTCTGTTTCTACTTTACCCATTGTTTTTTCTAGGGATCCCTAGACGTCTTCCATTCTGATCAATATTTCTTTCCAGTTATCCTGTTTGCCGTTTCTTAATTACTTAGTGCTTGGTTTTCCTGTAAGAGACGCTGCTTTTCCTTCTGAACGGATACTATTGTTGTATTTGTGGTGACTCAAATGTATTTTTTACTGTACAAAATAATATAGCTTGCAACTGTTGCTTGAAAACACGCATGTTCTAAATCTTTTAACTTTTTACTCTGAAAAATCTAAATCCAGAGAGTTTTTTTCTGATTCAGAGTTTATACTCTTGTTAACTAATGGATTCCAAATTTATGATGTAGTAATGGAAACTTAATACTAAAAAAGAAGACCCATTAAGCATGGACTTGTTGCTAAAGCAAATATTAACTTTTGGTTTCTTTCTTCACAGATTATGGAAAGAATTATGGATCTACCCACTTTATTACGGCACGCTTTCAGGGAGATGTTTTCTGTTGGGGGCCTCTTCTGGATGTTTCGTATCAGGATATTCCTCTGTTTGCTTGGAGCCTTGCTCTATCTGGCTTCACCTCTGGATTTTCTTCCTGAAGCCCTCTTTGGTATTCTCGGGTTCTTGGATGATTTCTTTGTTATTTTTCTTCTGCTGATATACATCTCTATCATGTACCGAGAAGTGGTAACACAGCGGCTGAATAGATGAAATGAAGGAAAATGACCCAGATGCAGAGGCTGGTGTGGGACAGCCACAACAAAAAAGAACCATGACCTAAGTGTGATATAACAGGGTGCCTGCGTACAATTTCAGTATTTACAATTCCGTAGCTTCTAGTTGATAATCTTACGCAAATATGAAGGGTTAATAAGTGGTGATGTTTAACTGGAACTTTAGTTTGTATATTACATACATTTCAGTAATGATGAAGTTAGTTTTATAATGTAATAAACTACCTTCATCTGCTTATACCTGATAAGCAGTTGTATGTAATCAAAGTAGAAAACGCCTCCTCTGGTGTATGGTTTGTGGAAAAGAAGTTCTAGTAAAGGACTTCTTAAAAAAAATCTGTTTGGCTAATCGAGACATATTTAAAGAAATTCAGGAACTCTTCACAGTACAGTTATAAAATCATTTAATATCTCACTATGGTGGGGCTAGAGGTTTTTAAAAAAAAAAAAAAGTTTTGTGTATGTCTGTGGAAGAAAAAAACTGAAGACAGCATAGCAGTTCTCACCCTGCAGTTTGCTGATGTCCACAGTTCATGCTTCACAGAAACAAAGAAAAACTCCTCGGTGTTGTTTGAACTGCACTGCTGTCACATGCAATTCATACAATTTTATTTTTATATTTTGGAATATGCATATACCATCTGATCTAGACAGAGAAACATCCAATATTATGCACACGAGATTGGTTAATGCTCTATTTTTAGATGGGAGCATAATTTTTCTCTTAAGGCTTGTTTATTTGGGGAGCAAATATTTTGAAAGTGGGGTATTTCATGCTGATTTGTGTGCTGCTTTAGGTTAATGCAGTATATCTAAATTTAGAGTTTGCAGCCCTGTAGTTGCATTGAAGTATTTAGCTGGTAGAAAGAACCCTCAGATTTTAGTTAGTGATTAAATAAAAGAGTCAGAACTGGATATTTACAATTCAGAATTTTACCTGCATATGAATTCTGCAACACTAATATTAAACAAATTAGGTACTATTGTTTTGGTTTGGGGCTGGTGTTTTTTGGTTGATTGTTTGGCTTGGTTGTAGGTGGAGGAGGGGAGGGTCTGAATTAGCTTGAAAGTTCTGTGATAAGGGACCACAAAGAATCCTGGAAATGTTTTCAAAACTGCCAGGGTATTAGTTATCCTTAACATTGACTTGTTGTTGTTGTTGCGTTTGAATATAGGCTATCATTGCTGCAGAATTCATCTGAAAATATTTTTGTTATTTGAAATCAATGCCACTAGAAAACTCTAGGGTATTCTTGATCTATGTACTTTTTGTTAGAGGAAAGATAGTGTTTGCCTTTTTACCTTAACTTCCTGAGTACTTGAAAGACAGGGACTAGAAAGGGGATTCTTTGCATGTTTACATAATATAGGAAGTGACTTACATTAAAAAATTGACTTTTGACAGATTCTGTTTCTCGCGCAGAGGTCTCTGCTCATGCAAAGATCTTTCCATATGCTTCTAGTACAGAGGTATGTGCAGGAGGGTGATAGAACCAATCCCCTGCGCCAAGCACAGAACAGCACTTCAGGCACTGTTCTTCAGTGTCAGTACTTTGAAAGGGACATTCATTTAAAAGTGAATGCAGTGATTCTTCATCTGAAAACTCGCTATAGAAAATCCAAAGCCATGTTACAACTGAACTGGAAAGCTTACTTTTTCCTTGCTGCTGTATTCAGTTATTAGAGATGGGCAAGAAGTGAAAAAGCAAGTGAGACAAGGATGGGGGAAGAATAGACAGAAAGTGACTTTTGTAAGCAAATTCTACGGGTTTTGGCCAACTTTAGCTGTTCTTCGATATCCATCTTGAGATTTTCCTTTTATTTTGGCATCATCAATGGTGATTTGGTGGCTACCTCAGTTAAAAGTCATTATGGTATTATTGGATAAGTGTGGAATATTCATGAACTGTTAAATATATGTACAAAGCAAGATAGTAGTATAGGATGTTGGTGAGATAGGACTGTGCAGTTTTGCTGTAAGCGCTGTTTTCTTGCAAGAGATTTGCCAAGTATTTTTAATCAAGTAAATTTAACACTTGCTTTTCTCCTGGAGTTAAGCTTGTGGGTCTGCTTAGAGAACAGCATGAGCTGTTGTTGGAGTCTGTTCATAGAATCTCTCCATCTAATAACTCCCTCATATGTTTATCCTATAATTGTGTTTATACTTTTTTCCATGCCCCTTTAAATCCTGAGTGGATATAGATGTACCTGAAGCTGGCTGACAAGCTATTACTGATTTCCTGACTCAGCTCCCTAATTTCACATGCTGCTGTCAAGAGGTCCGTGCAGAAATATTCATCTAAGGAATTTCTGGAGAACAGACCCTCTTTTGTACCTAACTCACAAGCCACTTCTGAGTAGCTGTATGAAGTGTTCCTATAACCTGATTCCTCAATCACCTCTTCCTTTCTGCCAGCCGGAAAGGTTTCACTTGAGACCTCTGCTTAATTTAGGATATTGAGGAGCATTATGGGCTTTAATTCAACATACTAAGTGCTTGACAGAATTAGGACCATCTCTCTTTCTCACCAATATATGTTGATTTGCATATGGATACCTTTGTGGAAACTTTTTTTTTGTTGGTCAGCTGTAATGTAATGTAAAGTGAAGAGGGTCTTATATCGAAAGGATATGTCTGCCCTGCAATATCTGGCCACTGCTCCTTTAGGCAAATCTGAACTAGCTGTGAACTAGCTGTAAACTAGCTGTCTTGGGTAACGCTAATAGTACAGCTGGAGCTTTGCTTAAGCTGCAGGGCTGCCCAAGAAGCTGGGGGTGAATACACGAGTATTTAGTCTTCCTGAACTGTGTGCTCCCAAGTTATCCTGATAGCAGTGTTCGAGGTAAGTGTTATAAACAGAGCTGAGAGCTAGCCTCAGAATGTGAAAGCAATACCTGATGCTGTGCATGCAGCACTGCAGACGTGGCTAGATGCGTGGCATGTCTCATGGAATGGGGCAGCTGTCTCCCTAAGGCAAAAAATAAATAAAAAGGAAGAGTCTAGCAGCAGAGAAGAGATACAGGGCAAAATAACATTCTTAAAAGGTTCTCATGGCTTTGCCTAAGACTGTGTCAAATATTTGATTTTTTTCCAGCAGTATTAGCAAAGAGGAAAGCTGAAGTTTTGTGTCATAGCTCTTACAGAATAACTTGTAGCATCTTGAGGCCTGATGATGACCGTTATCACAAGCGCCATATAGAACAATCTGTTTCTGTGTTGTGTTGTTCTGTGACCCGCACCATTGATGTCTGAGAGGATGAGGCAGAGTGGTGTAATTTGGGGATACGATTTTCCATGGGTTTCATAGAACTGTTCATAGCTGTGGCCTGCTTGTTACTCTAGATTTTTAAGACAAAGGATTAATTCCTTTGAAAATTAAAATTAATGAATTAATCCTTTAACACAAAAGGATTCAAGCCTGCCTGTTATTACTTGTAATTATAATAAAATTGCTATTAAAACAAGAGACTCTTATTGATTTATTTTATTGGCCTTCTAGATGGAAATGTGTTTTGCTCTGCCCTTCCTTTTGTTCCCCCGCTTAAGCTGGTGGTAGCTCTTGTACAAACGCTCTCTATTGCTTCTCATCTTAGCACCTCTGGACAGGATGGCCAGATATAGCTCTCTATTGTTTATTATTACTATTATCGGATAACAAAATGTCCAGGATCTTAGTCCCAAAAGGACGTTAAATGTCTTTCCTTGAACAGCTCAACCAGTGCCTTCAAGTCCATGGGCACTAAGCTTTCACAATGAGAAGCTCGCACAGATGATTAATTAGCATATTCACTCATCAATCCGCCAAGCAAAGAAAAGCAGAAAGGAGGTGAATGAGAATCCCGTTAATGAGGTAGACCGAAGGAAATGGCAAATAGTCTGTGTTGGGATAGGGTGGAGTGGGCAAAGAAGAGCTGGCTGTGACTGGCCTGTGCTGCAACCCTGTGCTTCTGCTGCATGTCACAAACCCCTGTTTCACGAGGAAGGTGTGATCCGTTCTGCTAAAAAACGTCTTTCCCGGGAAGTACAGGGCCAGGCTGTGCCAAGGTCTTCTGGGCTCTGAGGTGAACTTTCTAGCGTGCTTGGTTACACAGCTGTACTGTTCATGGAAAAACATTTAATTGCATAGTTGTTAAAAAGATCTTCTACAAGGTTTTAAGTGTGGTACACACATGCAGACATTAAATGTAAGAGATGCTACAAAGGTCTTGCCAAGCAGGGCTGAGAAAATGATGTATCGATTGTCCTAGCAAGCTGGTAGCCTCTGACAGGCTTTAGCTGTCTCCACCCAGTTATCCTCTTGCTGTGTTTATTTACGTGTGAATAAACGTGAAGGGTGCCTTAACAGCCACGCAGCGGTAGTTCAGCTGACTTCATGAAGAGCCCTATTACTGCTGGCAGCTGCCACATCGCTGCCCTTTCAGAAAGGCTGCAAACTCATTAGGATGGAAAGACTGAGGGTAGGGACTAGGGAAGCTTTGAGAGGATTAATGTGAGGAGATAATATTGACTGGCAGTGAAAGAGCGAGAGCAACTAATGAACAATTCTTAGGCTGCAATTGGAGAAGGTGTAGGCTTGTTTTTTATCTCCCCTTTCCCTGCAGGAGAGGAGGGAATGGATCTGAAAGTCAGAGGGGGAAAAGGTCTGAGTCACTTTAAGGATGGGAGTTTGAACTTGTTCATGCTCAAGGACAGATGGACTTCCAAACATGCTTCCCAAGCCCTTTGATTTAGTAGTCAGTGTAGCAATACTTGTGCCAAAAAAAAAAAAAAAAAAAGCTTAAAGCATCTCAGCCAAAATGTTCAGAGGCAGCTGAAATGGCTGAAGAGCTTGAAATCTGTTTCCCAAAGCAGCCCTGGTCCTGTTTTCAGCATTGCAGTGTTTCGTTTTCAACAGAGCCTAGAAAAACCTTAGCAAAGAAAATATAGAGCCAGCAAGGAAGTGTCTCTTCTAATTCCCCCCTCTCCTCCACACACACATGCGCGCACACACATGCGCACACACACACGCACACACACAAAACCTGAGAGAACTTCTCATGGCACTTTCAGACCTGTCCCCCTGACTGATGCACCTATGCTGGCTTGGCTGTGGGAAGCTTTGCTGAGCATGCAAGGGGAGGCTGCCAGGGTAGATGGCCGTTTCAGAAGGTCTATCGTGCGGTTGTAGGTAGGCCTCGTATTTCCCACCTCCAAAGAAACAGACTGCCTGTTCGTCACCATTAGTGGCAGCCTCGCAGGCACTCATTCCAAGGAGACAGAGCAGTAAATCACAGTCCAGTCACTGTTTCTTTGGGATGTGACGTCCCAGGGGGTTATCCTCATCCCTGTTCTGAAAATTGGGATTCTGACCTGGGGAAGAAGCTGCTCAATTTCATTCCACCTCGGGGAGCTGCAGATGTTTAGGGCTGAGGTAGGGCCACAGCCGCAGCCCAGTCAAACAATGTGGCCTGTTCCCACATGGATACCATATTGTAAGGTGCTATGGTAAGTAGAGATTCCTTCCATAGCCTGGATCTTGCTCATTTAGGGGATTACATTCCAAATAAGAGGAGTATTACTACTACAAAATGGGGTGCAAGCAGGAGACTGGAGTATAACTTCCTATGCTACAGCTTGGGTTCAGGCTCCTCATGCTTAGGTAATCTCAAATTGTTGTCTTGGGAGCTTCTACTGAAACTTTTATAGAAAGTAAACCTTATAGTAAGGTTGTACTGTTTCCTGGATTAAATCAAAGGATAGTGAGGCAACAAAGGTGACGGAAAAGAGGCTACAGGATAAAGGTTCTCTTTAAAAAAATCCTTGTTGTCCTCTGTACTGTTACATACTGTTACTATATGGTCCCTTACAAAGACATCTAAATATCTTGTAGCTCTTTGTTTACACGAGTGCTAGGTAAAAGGCATGAGAAAGATGAAAAGTCTAGAAAATACACTGGAGAGGGAAGACTGGAGAAGCTGATATTTTGTGTACAGAGGAGACTGAAGAAGACGTTGGAAAAGTCTTTAAATATATTGAAAGGCCATTGCAAGCAGGGGGCAGGGGAACTGGCAGGGGAACACATGGTACGAATGGATGAAGTAGCAGTGAGCTTGAATTTCAGCAGATGAGATTTCAATTGCAAGAAACCTGCTGAAGTGATCCAGCAGGGGGTATTATCTGGGGCAGTGGTGGAATCTGTGCTGGGAGGCTTTTATACGGGTTAAATTAACTTCTGTCAGGACTGGTTTCAGTGCAGCTAGTCCTGCCTTGGGAAGGAGTGGATGCATGAAGCTGGCTCTGGGCCAGAGAGGAGACCTAATCTGATTAAGCCTGTTTTCCTAAAAAAATTTCTAATGCACGTCACCTGTATTTATCAGCTAGCAGTCCTGACCCAGCTTACCTTTCCCCAGGAGTTTTGCTAAACAGCAGAGCTTAAATTCCCTGAGGTAATAATATGTCTCTACCTTATCTTAGGACACCTTAATGATTATTTATAATAATATTCCGTTTTATTACAAAAAACTCACTGTTTGTCCCATGTTTTCCAAGAGGCAGATTATTTCTCATGATTAACAGATGCTTAATTGGTGGGAGAGAAGGAGGGGAAAAGGAAGACAAATGAAAATATTAAGTCAATTGCTCATTGCTGGCAGGTAACTAATGAGGAATCATGGGTACATCAGGTGTTACTAATAGCTTGACTGGAATATGTTGCTTGGAAAGCTGTTCAGCTTCACATTAACATATGTTGTGCTTCGCAGTCAAAAATCTTTTGCACCCCCACCCCCATCTCCCTTCATTCTGGAAACTTATTTCTTCTAATGGCAAGACGGGGAGATAGCAGAACCTGAAAATAATCTATACCACATTTTATACATGAAAGTTATTTAATCTTGCAGTGCAAGCAGTCCTGAGTGAATCACCTTTTTCAGGGAAAGGATCCCACCAGTAAGAGGGAATGGGGTAACTGGGTTCCCCGTCAGTTCTTCTTCTCTAGCGTGGAAATACACATTTTTGCCTTTCTTGCCTTCTTCATGGTCTTGACCCCCAGGTGTCAGGGGGTTGTGTTGCTTTGTTCTGCTGCCTCTGTTCCTGGGCTCATTGGGAAAGTTAATGGGTGCTTAATGCAGATTAACTCAAAACAGCTATTAAAAATATGCCTCATCACTGAGCTCTTTTAAATCAAGCTGCTGTTCTCATCCCAACGAGGCTCTTCAGGGTCAAGGAGCCTGAAGTTGCTCCAGTCTCACTTCTTTCACCCTTGCAGGGTTATTGTAGTTTTGCTCATTTCTTTCCACTTTCTTACGATGCCTGAGGACCACAGTAAATATCACTAAGCAAATTTTAATGAATCACTTGCTCATACCCCATGGTAATTCCCACCTTACTCTGAAGATTCCTTCCAGCCAACCCTTCAGCTCCCCTGTGCCAGCCAGTAAGGACTGTCAGAAATGTCTGCGGTTTAAAGGATGAAACTCCTGGCACAGTTCAGCCGTGCCCTGTGGTTCTGCTGCCTCCCCCACAGGCAGCCTCATGCCCCGCTTCTGCCCTTCCCAAGGGGAATCGAGGACCCCGGCTCAGGCAGGTTTAGGTCTATAACATCCCCCAGCAGCGCTTTCTGGTTTGTAACTGCATGCAGAGAGCAGAGACCAGAAGAGGCACAGCAGTGAAGTTGCCCAGCTGGTAGCCAGGGCTGTACTTGCTGCTGGGAGATCGGGCAAGAGCCTGTGTGCAGCGGTGCTGGTGCATACAGTTTTAGTCACGTCTGGAGAGGTCGGCTTTCTCTGTCTCTGAGGTTGCTGGCTGCAAGTCTCTTCTTGAAGGAGAACAAGGCACTGCTTTGAAAATAATGTCTGTGATATTACTCTTCCTTTACACAGGTATTTTGAGCCTCCCTGGGGTTCTTTGTTCTCACGCTTCTTTTCACAGCTCCAACAAGCAACGGATGCTTCAATAAGGAAAAAAAAAAAAAAAAAAAAAAAAAAGGATGAGAACTCAGTAAACCTATTCCAAATACAAGAGCCCCAGCAAAAAGCATCAAAGACTCATGATTAAAACCACAAGACCATTGGTAGTGCAGTGTCATCAAAGCTGCACCTCTGGAAATTCTGTGAACTTCCCATTCTGGACTACTAGTCAAACCCTTTCATGGACTCGGATCTCGGCTGCTGCTTCATTTCGTCTTGCTCAAGGTGATTGAAATAGGTGATTGATAAGAGGACGGTTAGATGTTAGATGTGGAGCAGCAGAAGTAACTGCGTTAGCTCCACTCCCCCTTCTGCTTCCCACGGGCTGTTACTCCGGCTGAATGCTTCATTGACGCGCAGGGGCATTAACAGCCACCACTGTGGATCAGGGTTAGCTAAAACTTCCTCATAAACCGTGAGATTGCACCAGTTTTCACTGCCAGGGAACAGGAGAAATAAATAGGCAAGTCTTTACCCTGTGGAG